TTATGGTTGCGGTGAGGAGGGGCACATCTCAAGGGATTGTCCGAAAAAGAAGAAAGCAACAAGACCCAACATTCCGCCAAAGCCGAAGGCGAGAGCATTCCAGATGACACTAGAAGCTGCTAAGGATGAAGTTGATGTCGCTTCAGGTACCTTTCTTGTTAATAATTTGCCTGCCCAAATTTTATTTGATTCTGGAGCTAACTACTCCTTTATATTGCATGAATTTGTTAGAAAACTAGCTTTGCCTGTTGTTAGACTAGATAATGCTTTATTAGTCGAAGTTGCTAATGGCAAGTTTGTACATGTTAGCCATCGTATGAAAAACATTTTAATTGATCTAAATGGGAATAACTTCCACGAGGAATTATTGCCTATAGAACTTAATGGTTTCGACATCGTATTGGGAATGGATTGGATAAGAGCCAATGACACCGATATATTGTGCAGAAAGAAGATAGTCAAAGTAAACCCGCATGGGAAGGAATCATTTATGGTGTATGGAGATAAACACAGAGTAAATTCTGGAATCATTTCTCTAATGAAAGCCAAAAAATGTTTGACCAAAGGATGTACATCATACTTGGCATTCGTGATCGATGCTAAGAAGGAAAAGAAGGTGATGCAGACTATTCCCGTTGTATGTGATTATCCGGAAGTATTTCCCGAAGATCTTCCTAGATTACCACCTGATCGACAAGTGGAATTCCGTATTGACTTGTTACCCAAAACAACGCCGATTGCAAAATCACCTTATCGATTAGCATTGACGGAGATGAAGGAGCAGATGACGCAACTTAAGGAGTTATTGGACAAAGGTTTCATTAGACCTAGTTCATCACCCTGGGGAGCGCCGGTGTTATTCGTAAAGAAGAAAGATGGAAGCATGAGGATGTGCATTGATTACCGAGAGCTGAATAAGGCAACAATAAAGAATAGATATCCGTTGTTGAGGATTGATGACCTGTTCGATCAACTTCAAGGTTCGAGCTATTTCTCGAAGATCGACCTTAGGTCAGGATATCATCAGCTGAAAGTAAGAGAGCAGGATATAGAGAAGACTGCATTCAGAACACGATATGGGCACTACGAGTTTATGATTATGTCGTTTGGACTAACCAATGCTCCAACAACATTCATGGATTTAATGAACAGGGTTTGTAATCCGTTCCTAGATAAATTTGTGATAGTGTTCATAGATGACATTCTGATTCACTCGAAAAGCCAAGAGGAGCATGGCAGACACTTGCGAGAAGTGTTGGAAGTCTTAAAGAAGGAGAAGCTATATGCTAAGTTCACCAAATGCAATTTTTGGATTCGAGAAGTCCAATTATTGGTTCACGTGGTCAACCAAGAAGGGATAATGGTTGATCCAGCGAAGATCGAAGCTGTGATGAAGTGGGAACAACCAAAAAGTCCCACGAAGATCCGAAGCTTTTTAGGATTAGCCGGATATTACCGAAGGTTTATCCAAGTTTTTTCTTCGATCACTAGTCCATTAACAGCATTGACCCACAAGGGAGCTACTTATGCTTGGAGTGATAAGCATAAAGAAGCGTTCGAGAAGCTAAAGAAGAAACTATGAGAGGCACTGATACTTTCTCTACCTGATGGAGTTGAAGACTTTGCTGTTTATAGCGATGCGTCTGGTGTTGGATTGGGTTGTGTTTTGACCCAAAGAGATAAGGTGATCGCGTATGCATCTCAACAGCTGAAAGAGCATGAAAAGAACTACCCGACTCATGATTTGGAGTTGGCAGCGGTGGTTTTCGCTCTGAAAATATGGAGGCATTACCTCTATGGCACGAAGTGCAAACTTTTCACTGATCATAAGAGTCTCCAATATCTCTTTGGTAAGAAAGAATTGAATATGAGGCAACGACGCTGGCTAGAATTACTTAAAGACTACGACTGTGAGATACTTTACCACCCTGGTAAAGCAAATGTTGTTGCTGATGCTCTCAGTCGGAAAGTCAATCTTGAAAAGAGAAGGCCGAGAGCGTTGAGAATTGAAGTTGTCTTGACTATTTTAGAAAGTATAAAGAAAGCTCAAAGCGAAGCTTCTGAGAAGAATGACCGAAAGGAGGAACGTTTGGGCAAAACGTTGGTGTTCGGTGTAAACAGTCATGGACTGAAGGTGTTCCAAGATCGGATTTGGATACCTAAGACAAGAGGAGTCAGATATCTTCTGATGGAAGAAGCTCACAAGACCATGTACTTGATTCATCCCGGTAGCACTAAAATGTATAGGGATCTGAAACCCTACTACTGGTGGCCGACGATGAAGCTTGACGTTGCAAAGTATGTGGCCGAGTGTGTGACTTGTGCAAGAGTCAAGACACAACATTAGAAACCGTACGGGAGTTTAGAACCATTGCCTGTGCCTATGGGTAAGTGGGAAGCCATTGTTATGGATTTTGTCACTAAACTGCACAGAACAAAGAATGGTCATGACATAATTTGGGTGGTCGTTGATCGATTCACTAAGAGTGCGCATTTCATAGCAGCCAATGAGAAATGGTCTATGGAAAAGCTTGCGAACTCTTACGTGAAGGAAATTGTGAGGCTTCACAGTGTTCCACTAACAATTGTGTCGGATCGTGATAGTCGTTTCACCTCAAGATTTTGGAAAAGTCTACAAAAGGAATTGGGTACCAAGTTGTGTTTAAGTACAGCTTACCATCCGCAGACATATGGTCAGAGCGAACGCACAATACAAACACTTGAAGATATGATAAGAGCATGTACCTTAGAATTCCAAGGTAACTAGGATGAACATTTACCTTTGGTAGAATTTTCCTACAACAATAGTTTCCACTCAAGCATTAAGATGGCACCTTATCAGGCCTTGTACGGGAAGAAGTGTCGTACGCCATCTTGTTGGCTTGAGGCTGCGGAAAAGCATTTTATGGGACCCGAGTTAGTTCATCAAACTGCTGAAAAATTGAAAATAATTAGGGAAAGAGTGTTAGCAGCTAAGGATCGTCAAAAGAGCTATGCTGACAACAAGCGAAGACCGATGACTTTTGAAGTTGGAGATTCGGTTTTTCTTAAAGTCTCGCCGTGGAAGGGACTTATAGGATTTGGTAAAAGGGGAAAATTAAGTCCAAGGTTTATTGGACCGTTTAAAGTTCTTCAGAGGATCGGGAACCAAGCTTACAAGCTTGAACTACCAGCAGAACGGAATGGAATTCATAACACTTTCCATGTGTGTTATTTGAGGAAGTTCACGGGAGAAGTTCCCGACATGATTCCACTTTCGGAGTTAAGAATCGATGAGAACAAAAGGTTGATTGAAGAACCAGAGGCAATCGTTGACCGAAAGACTAAGAAGTTGCGACGTAAGATGGTTGAGTTAGTGCTTGTCCGATGGAAACACACGAATGGGCCGAATCTCACCTAGGAGACGGAGAGTGACATGACGGGTCGCTATCCGCATTTGTTTGTTGATGTGTGATTCCGGGGACGGAATCATTCTAAGGTGGAGAGAATTTTAACGCCTGTGTTTCTGGGCTTGCCATTTTTAGCAATGTAATAGTCTAGGTTAACCTTTGTAACCCAATTTAAAATAATAAGAACGTATTATTTGAGTATTATGTGTTTCATGCTTAATTGCTTAATTATGTGATATGATTAATTAAGAATAAATTGAGCATCAAAATTTAAGTGTAAAATAAACTTGATATCTTTGGATAATGTTGTATTAGTTGAAATGAGGTTTCCGAATATATAAAGAATGACAAAATCCGAGTTATAACGAAGAAGTTATGACCTGTCGAAGTTTCGCGACAAAACCGGCAACGCTGAACGACGTAAAAAATGAAATTTATGTTAGAGCGATATTTAGCCTTAGTAATCCAAAAGAAAGTCGTAGAGTTCGTTAAATCGAGAGCGTGGATAAAAAGAACGGCCAAATCTGACTTCGTATGAGGAAGTTATGATTTTCTGAAGTTTCGATGAGGCAGTATGCAGCCCGAATACTCGATTTGAGATCGAGTGATTTTTTGTTGAAACAATCTAAATGAGAAATGAAGATCTCGTTGTTAGTAGCGAAACGATAAAAAGCTAGGCGACAACGGACGTCGGACGAAGAAGTTATGAATTTATAACGAAGTTTTTCTGTCCCGGCCTCCTGAAAATAAATAATAAAAATAAAATTCAAAATTAGCCGACGGAGTCTAAATGAAAGTTGTAGACACTACTAGAAAAACAGCCTTTTACGACGCTAATTGCGCGTCGTAAAAGGCTCAGACGACGCGCAAATGCGCGTCAAGGAAGGCCCTGTCATAAAGAGAGACGACGCGCATTTACAACGCTCATTTACGACGCACAGTTACGACACGCGTTTACGACACGCAATGCGTATCAAGAAAGGCCCTGTCTTAAAGAAAGACGACACACATTCGCGTGTCGTAACCTTACGCCGCGCGTGTTAATGACACACAATGCGTATCAAGAAAGCCCCTATCAACAAAGGCCATTTCATAAATGAAGATGACACACATTTTTGCATATCGTAATTTTAATTTATTTTTAAAAAAAAATTATTTATTGATTTACTTATTTTCATATTAAATTTGCATTTCATGTCTCATAATGGAAAATAAAATACCATATACAAATAATACAATGCATTGCACAAAAGTTAATGTTATACAAATAATCATTCCAATAGTAGACAAATGTAATACATCAAATGTGAAAAAAGATGAAGTCATCAACTAATAATAGTTGAACTACAAGAACTTGTTGCCCACCTTCACAACATCCGAGCTACTTTGCTTGACATTGTATATGCACATCAACAAGACCTACAAATTTGATAATGAAACTATTAGATTCATATAAACTAACAAATCTTAATATGTAAAAATGAGAATAACTATACTTAGTACTTACATTTACTGCTGACACGTAAAAAATCCCAAAAAAATATGGTGGATTTTATTTTTAAGTATGTGTGATGCAAATTCATCAGGAACATCTTCTTATTAATGCTAGTTCTATCTTGCATTTAATTTTAATCTTAATAGCATTTTGACAATCTTTGTTATTGTTGAGTTGGAGCCAGTGGAAGAAGCTTCAGTTTTCAATGGGCCATCCTAAAAGACAATCATCAAACAAAATATTTTATAATTCCAAATTTTTTTTATATATAAAATGCTCAAAGATCAAATTTTTCTCCAAAATGCTCAAAGAATATTACCCAATTTATTGTTCCAGTTGAGACAAAAAGCCCTTCTTCCTTAAAAATAGGAAGAGACTCTCTTGTAAGCATAGACTCATCCACAACACTTCTTCCTGCAATTACTTTCCCCTGAACACAAGATTTAATTCCTCATATCAAAAGCCCTAATCCTTAAACTATTTTATTGAAATTGTAACGTGAATTATGATGTTCCAACTGAAAGTTAACAAGACTTACATCTTGTGGATATTAGTGACTGTAGACATATGATAGCCACAAGGGTATAAAGGTCAAAACACTAACAAAAGCAATATACTTATATGAGTAAAAAATATTGGCATTTTGAAAAGCAATATACTTATATGAGTAAAAAATATTAGCATCAAGTTCCACAACATGTGAAAACTTTAGAAGAGAATTAGTAACTACCTCTTTTCATCATTTGTCATGCAAATAACAGAGCCAGAATGATTCTTGTCTACACAGATCCTGTTTGGAGTCTATGTAGACAATAACTTGTTAAGAACAAGAATCACCATTTACACGGATGTAAGCTAAGTCCTTGAAGCTCTTTTCTACAACCTGCATTGTATCCCACAAGAATTACAACACTTTCTTTTCTGTATTTCGAAATTACTTGGCGCAAACATACAAATTGATAACAAGTAGAAAACATGCCAAAATTACTTTACAAGACTATATGTTAAAATAAAATAAAATAAAATAAAATAAAAAATGTTACCGACTTAATCAACCTTAGTTGGCGGGAAGTAAATCCATCAAGTTTGATGGCTGGACAAATTTTAAAGAAGATGGTCTCAAACTGATCAATTGAAGCATTAGAGTCATTAACAATCCAGCTTGACCCTCCATTTCTAACATGTAACAGATCATCATGCCATTCATTAGTTTTGTTTTTCATTCTCTCCACAAAAAAATGTTCAATCAGCAAAATATGCCAAATTAGCGTAAACCGGGAAAAAATGTAAAATGAATAAAATCAAAGAATTGGATAAAAATTATTGGAAAAAAAGCTTTGGATAAAACTATAATTTTTTACAAACTTAAGGATTTTCTTGTGAATCTCATTTTAAGAAAATGTGGAAACCAACAAAAAAGCAAAACTGAGGGTTACAACCAGAGAAAAAAAGTGTAAACCCGATAAAATTGTTTACACTTGAGGTTTTTTGTTGGAAGTAACAAATGTTTGAGTAGTTTGACCAATTCAAACAGTGGGGTCTTCAAGTGTGGTTGATCTGTGATGCGTGGATAAGCTGCCTTTTCATTAAGCTGATTTTGAGACCATAAAAGCATTCTTAATAAACTTGTAAGCTTTGGATCTGTCAAATCAATTCTCATTCAGTCAAATGCTAAAATAAATATAAAGCTTCATGGATAATTGGATTAAAAAAAAACTAACCTTTTTCATGGCTTTGACTTGTAAGGATTGCATCATTGACCTCACTTGCAGTTTTTAGGTGTTGAGATATGTCTAAAAGATCTCCAACAGGTCTATTCTTCACATCTTCAAATGCCAGAAGGGCAAGTGTTCTCTCCAACTCCTTTAGAAAGCTTTGCTGCAATGATGGGAGTTTATCAGATAAAGGGCATTTTGGGCATATTAAATTAAATATTATTACTATAAGAAGGATCAAAAGCTACATTTTCCTCTACCCTTGGAGCAAGCTCCTCCTGTGCAAATTCCGGAGTTTCTTCAATCTTTCCATTTCTAATCAATTATATCAACCTTTGCTGTTGCAGATGGAAAAACAACTGTGGATTTGTATCTAGAATCTGCATAAAACATTTGTCACATCAGCATTTTTATCAAGCAAAAGGTTAGTTTTTTTACCTATAGTCACATACAAGACATAATGGGAAAAGAAGCCCCTAAGTCTTTAATTTTACACATTAGATCAGTTAAAAAATCTATACCCATTTTTACATATATGGGTTGAAATATTCAAAAAGAAAATAGTAAATTGTCTAGAATGCCCTTCAAATACTTGTAATCATGACAAGAAGCTAACCTCAAGATTCAAATCATTAACTTTTTCAATTGCATCTTCAATATTCCCAGATTGAACAGCTTTTTTAACAGCCATACGGTCTGTAATGGTTGCAAGATCTATATCTGCTGTTTATATATTAAGGAAATTCATATAAAGGTAGAAAATGATTCAGATTGACACATTAAAATTAACAAAAACTCATTAAAAAGATGAAAATGGATACGTTCTGTTTCAGATTCCATTCATAACTTTTCTGCTGCATCAACATATCCCTCAGTGACAAGAAAATTCATAACCAATTTGTTCATGTCTTCTTTTCAGATTTTAACATCGTTAAGCTTTTTCTCCCATTCATCCCTTGTTATTACCTTCTTTGAAGTAGCCTATATATAATAATAAAATTTTAAAATAACAATATTGCTAAATCCATCACAAGAACAAGACTCGGGGAGCTTTCTTAATACCATCTATAAGTTTTGTGTTCAAATACACAATTGGGCTGTGATAGTTGCTTACCTTTGCTTTTTCTCTTATTTTAATTCTTTTCTCTTTCTTGCATACAACCTATTTAAGAGACGGATTTGTGGATCGTTGGTCCAGATTCTCAAAGGTTCCAACTTTTCTTCCTGAAATAAACAATTTGCTCAAGGAATGTGTGATTGGCAATAATAAATAAGTAAATAATTCATTTATGTTACCTCTGTAAGATCATCAGGGAGATGAAAAGTGTGACGTTGAAATGGGGTTCAATGACCAAATCAGGGGAAAATCGTACCTTAAATGAAATGGTAGCCGAGTTGTTGATCCGAGCCCTAGAAATTGCTGTTGGTTTTGCGTCTTCTGGTTCGGCTTCGCGTTGATATTTAGGAACTGGAAGGGATTGTTGTCTTGTTGGCCTTGATCTTCTACTAGAATTGTTACATAATCCTTCTAATATCGAAGAGCTAATAGGTCGATGGCAGAGGAAGGTGTGAAAAAGATGCGACGTTGGCGGAGGGGCTACGATGGTAGAGGGTCGACGACCAGGAAATAGCACAAAGTGGTGGTCGGAGTGTGAGGGGAGTAGTTAGCGGTCGATTTAGGAAGGGGAAAGAAGTATCGCCTATTAGGGTAAAGAGGGAAGTGAAAGCGGGCTAGGGTAAAGAGGGAAGTGAAAGCTGGCTTTTCTAATTTTTGGGTTTTTCTTTTTCCCACTTATTACTAAAGAGCGCGTTTCATTAAAAAATATAAAGTGACATGTTTAGACGACACATGTTTTATAATCAGTGCCGTCCGTGTTTTTTTTTTCTAACACTTATTCTAGGGCACGCAAAATTGCGCGTTCTAAATACTTAAAATTTCTAGAGAGCTGACATTATTTTTAGGTCACGTGCTTTTGCGTATCATAAATCACCGTGTGTCATAAATTGTGCGTCATTAAAGGTCTGTTTTCTAGTAGTGAGAGTATGGTCTGACCTACGCGTGGATATAAAGAACGTCGAAAACGGAGCTCGTATGCGAAAGTTACGCAATTTAGAAGTTCGACAAGTCAAATTACGCTGAGCGTAATTTGAGTACGCCCAGCGTACTCAGGAGGAGGCAACTTGTCTGACCAATACTCGAGTACCACCAATCGACGCATGCAGTGACATCAAAGTACGCCCAGCGTAACCAATTTACGCCCAGCATACTGAGTACGCCCAACGTAAATTGAGATTACGCCCAACGTAATCCCAGACCCCCAACTTATAAATAGAAACCAAGATCAGCCATTTTCTCTTGTTTAAACTCTTTCCTCTCTCTAGTTTTTCCTCGATTTGCGTGCTGTTTGTACCCCGAAGCCCCGGTAATATTCCCGAGCCCCGAAGTAAGATCCGAAGCCTCGAGGATCCCGAAGAGCGTTATTCCCGAGCCGAAGCCCTGCCCGCGAGGAGCCCGGTTTTGTGAAGATCTTCAAGATCTGCAGAGAAATACCTCTTCTACAAGCCGTAGTGCTGCCTGATCATCTTCTGATCAAGTGACTGTGTAGTTATTTTCATTCCAACGCAATATTATGAAGTATTTTATATAAAATATGTGTTATGTGTATATATTTGGTTGTTATACGTGTGAGTGTATATTCACTCTCTTCTATCTTATAGATCTGATGTATTCTCTATGAAATACGTGTTATGTGTGTATGCCTCATCTGTTATGTGGAATATGTATTGATTAAAGCATGTTATAAAGGTTTTTAAACAATGTATAAAAAAAATGTATATTTTTATCTACTAATATGTTGGGTAGAACATGGGTAGATAATTGGTGTGTAATAAACAGATGAGAGGCCTCGGTGTTATTGGTGTTATTCTAAGTCATTCAGCAGAGTATGGATGATGACCACGGATTATTCTAGACATTCCTGTGAAACACTAGCAGACTCATTACTTGTAGGTGTTGTGAACAACGTGTTCACCGGTGTACTCTATCCCCTACATGGTTGCCTTTAGGACACTTATTGTTGAGGAAGCCCCATGAAAATCTTGAATTAGGTTCCTTATAATAGATGTTATTTTTAGGGACGTAAAGTGAGGATAACGGAAATGGGTAATCGGGTTTATTGTTGATTGTTGGATTAAATATAATTATTTATTGTGGGCTGAAAACCCTACATGCTCACCAGGCTCCCAAGCCTGGCCCACTCAGTTTATTTGTATTACAGGAAGTGGCGCAAGATCTTAAGATGGGCGAATCATCAAGTTGTTTTGTTTACAAGTCTGTATATGTATAAATTTGTTGAATGACTTGTAACGCTATCGTTTATGCTTTATGATCTGTATCGGAACATGACATCCCGACTTTTGATGATGAAATGAAATCATATTTCTTTACGAAATCTTTTGATAAATATCTATTTTATCATGTTTTGTTTTTGGGAACAAATTCCGCATCTCTTTTAAAATTAAAAGGATTTATTCTGAAAATGTTTAAAAAGCATAAATGAAATCGGTCTTTTCTGGCTGAGATTTTGGGGATTTGGTTTTTGAAATTTGAACCAAAACCGACAGTTTTGGTTTTTCGATTTGGATTTCGATTTCGATTTCATCAGTTTTTTCGATTTTTCGGCTTTTAAGTTTCCGGGTTCAGTTTTGTTCAGACTTAACTAAATTACAAAAAAAAGAATAACGACGTCTGAACCACGGAAAATAATACTAATAATAAATATGTTTAAATAATTTCAATATTAAAATTATGATAATATTAATGATAACGAATAGGAGAATAATTGCTTCTTTACATTGAGGACAATAAACACTTTTATGTTTTTTTTTGAAAGTTCTTGTTTTTTTAAAGAAATTAATAATATTTAAATATTATTAAAAAAAAACCTTATGATATCATCTTAAATAATGAAACCCTTAACTGTATTTGGATCATAGATTTTTCACACTTAGATCACTTTATGACATCACCAACCAAAGTTTTGGTAAAAACTCTTTTTTCCATCAAGTGTTACCATGTTTAAAGGTAACTTACCGTGTTACCTTTAATACCCATTGAATTTTCATAATAGATATTATATCAAATCTTATAAAATCAGCAGCTTAGTTATAGAATTTTTATTGATGTTTTGTAATATTTAATTGCTTACCATATTAATTCTTCTAATTACTTCTAATTGATTTTATACATAGTAAACTGTTTTTTATAAGTCAAATGATATCTCTACAAAAAAGAAACTTATAAGGAATGTTATATTATATTTCAAATTTAAAATTAAAATACATTTCAATTTATTTACTTCATCTTTTTTATCGTTTTATATCTTCTGTACATAATACATAATTCTAACATTTTTATTCTTCAATTTACGCAGGAACAGTTGACATACTTCCTATGTAGAAAAATAAAGCAAAAACTTCTCCAACCTTGTCATCGACGATCAACAATATGTTCTTCATTGTGTTATCATTTTCTGTTTCACACTTTCATTTCCTGTTATCAAATCATTACATACTTTCATGAACTCAAATTTCAATCTTCACATTAATCTAATTAGTTATTTCAATAGATGTGTTTCCAATAAAACCATTTACTTTGATTTTATTCGTTTTCCTCCTATTATTTAATGTCTCTGTCAATGTTTTTATTGTTTTTGTTTAAATTAAAACTTCAGAATTAAAAAGAGTTTCAATTTCATTCACTTTTGCCTTTTATGGAAAAGAGTTTTAATTTCACACACTTTTGCCTTCAATACTAATAATGCAAAAGGCAAATATGGAAAAGAATTTTTTATCCCTTCATAGTAGGATACTTTTATTTTCTACAAATTAACATAACACCAATGTACTTGCGAACCAAAAATACATTTGTATTCTATTTTTATATTTGTATTGTTATTCTAAATTATTGAGTGCTATCAGTTTGATATATTTTCCCATACAAAAGAATACCGGTGTATCTCTGAATTATAAATACAATGTTATTCTATTTTTTTTATTTGTATTGCTCTTTTAAATTGTTGACTTCTGTCACCTTTTTACATTTGTATTTTTGTTCTAAATTATTGAATGTTATCAATTTGACATGTGTGTTGTTATAAAAGAATAGTAGTATTCTTCTGAATCATAAATACAATGGTATTCTGTTTTTTATTTGTACCGCTCTTCTAAATTACTAACTACTATCAATTTGACATAATTGCTCTTTACTTACTTCAATTTTTTTTTGTTAGATATAGATGTTTGTTTCCATTTAGTGATTGTTTTTTGTTTCTAATCAACACCTCACATTTGACCATTTACTGTGGCAAGTAATATTTTTTTTCATTTTTTTTTATAATTGATTGGATTTCATGGAATAAAATGATGTAATAAGATGGAATATAAATTTTTGTATTTTAATAGTACCTGATGAATAAAATAAAAAGAATATGAGGCTAATGGAACTGTCGTCTAAAAGTGTAGTTGATGAATACATTATATAAGACATGGATTTTGTTTCTTTGTATTGTACTATTAATATTTTAATATATTTCCCCCATTTATGATACAAATTTTCATTTCAGAAAATAATTTCTTCATACCCCCTAATTGTCGAGTTACTCAAAACCTTACCAAATTACATTCAACATT